AGATGCAAGTGTAAATTATGGGTTACTGGAGAGATAGGAATCACGACCGTATGAGATCCGAAAATAAACCGATGCCTGTTTACGGTTATGCAAATCGAACCAATGGCCTTCTTAACAATGAATTGACGAACCCTAAACCAGTAACCTTGTTTAAGTACAGGTCCATGCAGAGTGATTTCATCGGGCATGACATTTGCGGCGATACGATGACCCTAAGATCGATTTCGCATAAGATCAAGTGTAAAAATCCAAAAGAAAAATTGCTTTTAAAAACAACCCTATGAAATATATAAAGAAATAACAACTACATAATAAAATACCTGATCGTCAGCGAGAATCATCTCGATTGTATCACCAAAGAAATTTACATTCTTCCAGAGTCGAACAACTTGCACACGAACTTCACCACCGGTGGTGTAATAATCTAACCTAGAGATATCAACAACATCAGACATTTTTTTTATCTGTCAAGAACACAAAAGGAAAAGTAAGAAAAAAGAAGTAAAGAGAACACATATATATACGCGTTACATTCTAGACAGTTATTTCCTTTTTCAACCCAATAAATTTATGGAAACATACAACATTGAATATGTATTATTGAAATAAAGATTAATTTATTTATAGGTTTTATTTTAAATGACAACAATTGTCTGTCAAAGGCGTCTTTTCATCCGTTAATATATTTTTTCGAGACATTAGCAGCATGCAATATGAGAGAATAAAATCTGATTGCATCTGGTGTACTAAGCATACACGCAAGCGAAATACGCGAGCATACCGAGTCAAAAATAATCAAAAAATATAATAGTTTTTTCAGTATACAATCATCACATGAAGCTAGTGAACGTAATTTTCCTGGACAATGTTTTTATAAAGCCAAAGAAACAGTTGGGGAGAAGAGTTACTTTGTTGTTTATTTTTAACAATGTATATGAGAAAATGGGGATATATATAACACCCAAATGAGAATAAATTATTATTTATTAATAATCGCAAAACAGTCTTGTAAATACATAAAAAATGTGTCTAACAAAACTAATAATATATATGGATTATCGATTTTGATTCATTCCAATCGGCCCAAACCATTAGACATCATCTGTATCCAGCCCATATAATCTCTCTCTAATCCTGAAATTTAAATAACAAAATCATGTAGATCTAAATATATTAATTTTTTTCATAAGTTAATTTAAAGAACACATCGAAACATACTTACCTATTGCCCAAGGTTAAAACTTTATCAATAGGTGAATCAGTGATAAAACGGGATACACCATCATCATCATGATCCTTGATAGACACATTCTCTAAAACATATATATTGGAATATTGTTATGTTATATACAATGATTTTATAAATAACATATTGATGTATCATCAGAGAACATACCCCGTCAATTGCTACACACCAATCGGTTAACACACATATAGCAAAGGGACCTTCGTATTCTCTACACTTATCTCTTATTTCATTTGCCAACTCACCATGTGCAACACACTCTAGCATATACTCCCTATATTTTGACAAAGAATGTAGTTAATAATTAATTAGTTAAACTTCAAAAATCTACAGTTTGAGATATACTTACTCATCATCTATTATATTAAATCGAATTGATGATGTAGTCGTTCCATCCGGGTATGTAATAGTAAAATATCTAGCATCTTCAACGACTCCAATCAAATCTGCGATTGTAATTAGTCAAAATAAAGACATTAGTGCGAACTATAAATTTTGCATTATAATAAGATACCAAAATATTATTACCAATTAGATAATAATGAACATTTGGGAATTCATAAATCGAGAGGAATGATGCAAAATTATAGAACGAATTATTTGTTAATGGTAAAGCTGGTGAGATTGTTGTTCCCTGTGTCAGTGTAATAACGTAATCGTGATTTGTAATACTTTGGATATTAGTCCAGTTGTAAGGATTCAAAAGAAATCCAGTCAACATAAACCATCGATCTTCTTCGCATATTTGATTAAAATGCTCCATCATCTGATTGTTTACCCGAGCCTGAATTCTACAACCCTAGAAGTTTATACGATAACATTAGATCAACAAAAGAACAAATTAGTGTATGTTAAAACAATAAGCATAACCAATAATAAATATCACAAATAGCATTTTAAGTTAATGAAATTTACTCTTTCATCGACCAGAATGAAATTTAGACTTCGATTATCGTCCGAGTAATCCACCACCCATATTTTGAGTATTTTCACTATAATTCGCCAGTCAGATCTTTGAGAGTCCAATTGACGAACAAAATCATAATCCGCCATTGCGTGATGCCTATCGTTTAGGGTTATGCAATTTAGAGTATATTTATAAGAAAAAATGTGATTTTATATTAATCTATAACCAAAAATTTAGAATATTAACATTTCAGGATAAATATAGATAAGGAAACAATATTATCTTCAAATAAAATAAATAGAGATATATATATATATATATATCTATATATTGAGATTTTCTATTTTAAATTATTGAGATTTTACTATTTTAAATTATGTTAATATTCTAATTCTCATTGTTACCAATTCGTAAGATAGTTTACTATAAAACCATCTATATATTTTAAATGACAATTTTATTACAATGAAAATTTACATTAGCTAAATCATAAAATCTACATATATATATTTTAAAGACGGTGACTTGTTATCGTGTTCAAGAACGCGTAAATTCAACCAAGTAATGATTTCTTTAGTGAATAAACAAAAAAAACTGTTTCTATATCCTTATTTTTTCTTTCATAGATGATACAAAATCGTATTATTTATAGAACATTGTGTTTAGTAGAACATGATAAAATCAATAACCAAAAACCATTAAAAAAAAATGATAACAAAGATAATAATAGAAATATAATCTAATTGGTAAGAATATTTTGGTATCTTCTTATAATGCAAAATTTATATCAGACAAAACCATCTCGATAGTATTTCCGAAGAATGTTGAATGCTTCCAGAGCTTGACAACCTTGACAGATATTAACCACCGTGTTTTGTAAGTATCCAAACATACAACATCGACAACATCAGACATTTTAGAAACTTTTTTTTTATTCTTTTTGATGGAGAAATCTGAATAACTTTTATAAAGAGGAAAACTAAAAGTGATGTAGTATGAGAAAGTGTGTTAAATATGAAAAGGAGAGACTATGCAGTTGAATAGGCAGTTATTCTTTCTTATAAATTTATTTTCGTTTGAATTATTTTAAAAGAAAAAATTTGAACAGTTACCATTTAAAATTCCTTACTGTCAAAACCAACAACAATCCACTAATTTATGTCAAAACACTTCCATATTGATATTAACCGATTTGTTCGTTTCACGTGTCAGAGAGAATATATTCCGTGTTTTAAGTTTCACCAAATATACACGCAATCTCAATAAGTAAATATACTATTTTACTAAATATAAACTTTTGCTAAATTGCAATACTTTCCATAAAATAATATGATCTCTCTCTATAGCTTATGTTATTTGGACAATTTTATGTTTTAATATTTTAGGAAATGATATATTCATACAACATAATAACAAAAATGTCATTTATGTAGACTTATATGTTATAACTTTATGTATCTACTTGAGCAATTTTCCTTAAAATTTTATGAAACATGAAACCTGGAAAGTCAAACGGTTAGTTGCAAACATAAAGTCGAATAATCTTCCCCATAAAAAATTAAAAAATGTGAAAATTGATTATTATTGCACACTTTATAAATACTGACTTGAGGGTTTCTTTTCAAAAAACTTTAAAATTTTTTATAAGTAGCATTATCGTTTCTGAGAGAATTCATAAGAACATGGCGAACAGAAACAAAAAAAAATTTGATGAAAATGGCTTGTTGATCATCAATCCCCCACCATTGGTAATGAGATTCGGTGTCGTGGAACCAAAGTCACCACCTTCACCAACAGATTCCAAGATAGAGCAAGAAGAATTATGGGAACAATTACATTTATTCACCGCATCAAATCAGAAAGCCAAACATAACACTCCTCAGGTAATACATCCTATTCACTAAAGTTTGTTTTAATCATGTCTTATACAATGAATTGTAAAATCTGTATATTCTACTTATGGAGGATGACAAAGGCAACACATCTAATGAGACATCCCAATCAAATTGCACAAAACGAAAACACGACCTGATTCTAGATCTGGAGATAAGGTTGAAGTGCATGCGTTGCGGTTTTGTGGAGACAGAAATTCGACACATGGATACCGCCGAATGGGTACGTGATCAGAAATATTATTTAGATCTAAATTATGAAAAGTTGTCTAAAATCTATGTTATTGAGTCATTATAGTTTGTTATTGATTGCCCATTGAACTCTATGTTGTAGAAACAATTCATGTTTAAATATGATATTGAGTTAGTTCAAAGCTATATAATTTTACAAAAATCTAAATCGGATTGTTTGTGTCTGTGTTTAAAGGGAAAGGAGAAGGAACGTAAAAAGAGGAGGTCTGGAGTTTAATCAAGAACAATATCAGTTTCAAACCAATTTCATGTTTTTTTTTTTCCTGTTTGCAATGATCACTTTAAAGACAATATGTACTTGGTTTTATTTTCAAAAAACTATTAAGTTTATTTCGATGACATGATAATTTGGTTTTGAAGCAATCTCGATATTTACAACTACGTGACAATGTTCATCATATGAAATGTCAATAGATGCCCAATAATATGCTACAGTTAAAGTTTGGTTAAAATATGTTATCGAATAGAGTTTGTCATTGGAATATCCGACTACAGTTAAAAATCAGAGATCAAACCATTAATACATCAGATCCAACTTAGTGAAAAATTGAAAAGCATTAAATCTATTAAAAACTATAAAACCGAACGTAATGGTCTCATACAAAAAACCGAACGTAATGGTCTTATACAATAAAAATAACTAACATATTTCGAGATACATAGAGACAACATATCACAAAACAAAACACAGTAAAAAGAAATATCATATCTTGTCAAAAACCTCCTTGTAGACGACATTCAATGTTTTGTTTTGTGGTTTGTTATCTTTATCGGTGATCAATATCTTCAAACCTTCTCTTGATGTAACCCTCGATACAGCAACACACAGTTGCCCATGACTAAAAACCGGTCTTGGAAGATACAAACCAACCTTTTCGAGTGTCTGTCCTTGGCTTTTGTTTATAGTCATTGCAAAAGCTAATGTGATAGGAAACTGCTTGCGTCTCATCCTGAAAGGAAGTTTCATCTCCGAAGGAGAGAGGAATATCCTAGGAATCAGTACCTTTTCACCAACCTTGCTACCTGTTATTATTTGAGTCTGGAGAACATAATTAGCCATCTTAATAATGATGAGTCTTGTGCCATTACACAACCCATTCTTAGGGTCAATATTTCTTAGAAGCATTACAGGAGTACCCTCTCTCAACTTCAGGACATGATTAGGGAAACCAGACATCTTGATACTATTTAAAAACTCCTCGGTATAAATCATATTGTTGGAATCACCTTTATTCTTACTGGCTACACTCTCTGAGGGTACTTCAGATGCATCATTGTAATTGACAACTTCTTCAGTCGTATCAATGCTATCACAACTAAGATAGGTCCTTTCAACACCTGTTATATACAAAACAACCGTTGTATTATATAAATATAAACAAATAAACTAAGAGGAATTAAAACAAAATAAACATACCCGATAACTTTGAAAGCATATAATCATTTATCGTATCTACATCATCGTTTCTTGGACTCAGTATGATTTAGGATTTAGGAACTCCCATAAATTTCTTGGAAAAATTTAGGATCAGTCTCTTTCGAAAACGAACTCCCATAAAGTTCTTTGACGATCGTTTTTATAGGATCTTTACAGTCTTTAATCAACAGATCATCAGGAATATCAATCACGGCTTCACCACTTCCATCGTCATTTATCGTACCATCACCATTGTCTAAGATCCACTTTGTAAAGGCAGCTCGTTCAAGCATCGCACGACTATTATCTCCAGCTATAAGTCGCATGTTCTGTGTAAGTCTCAACACTCTACATTTGTACCACAGAGGTGACAAATTCAAAGTGGCCATAAGTATCTCTGTCTTCCCGGCATTTGGAATCACTGGCAATATTTGCCTAAAATCCCCTCTTAAAACAATGACCTTATCACCAAAGGGCTTATAAACTTCTAATATATCACGCATCGTTCTATCTAGGGTCTCGAAACAGTCTTTACTCATCATCAACGCCTCGTCCCATATAATGAGTTTAGCAAAATTTATCAGGTCGGCAAGATTCGACTCCTTCTTGATTGAACAGAAGGTAAACTTATTAACCACAATAGGGATTGCAAATCTTGAATGCGCAGTTCGGCCTCCTTCTAATAACAACGCAGCAATCCCGCTCGATGCAACCTTAAGAACAACATCACCTAGAGAACGTAGAGCAGATCCTAATAGACTCCACAAATAAGTTTTACCAGTACCTCCAGAACCATAAACAAAGAACATACCTCCTTTGTTCTTATTTACTGGTTCTAGTATCTCATCATAAACACTTCTCTGTTCACTGGTTACAGTGGCTAACATCTTCTCGTTTCTTACTCTAAGAGTTTCGCGATTATAATTCCTCTCATCCCGAATAAGAGGATTATCATGTGACTCCAGAGTAATATCTTCAGGAAACGGCATAGGTGTGAATTCTTTTAAGGATCTCCCACTTACACGTAAAAGAAGTTCTATTTCGACCAGAGTAAAGTCTTTAACTTGCTCCTGAGATAGACTAACAGCTACACAATTTCAAAAAAATTACAAAAGATAAATTAGCTATCAATATCTTAAAGATATATAATAACAACAACGCAAACAATAACTATACGACTTACTTTGATCCCTGGCAGCTTTTCTGTAATTATATATGATGTCATCTGATAATACCTGCCATGTAGCATCCCAACCTCTAGAAGGAATGGATATACTTTGAGTAGTGAGCAGGATCACAAAAAGACGACGGAGATAATTGGCAGAAAGCCACAAGCCGCCCTCATTGATGGCCTCAATATATTCTTTGTCATCATTCAATAATCCATATGCATAGCAAGCGTCTTTGAACGAAGAATGTAGAACTTTGTTGACCGTTTTTATATCATCAAAACTACGTGGTCATTTGACTAAATTAAGCAGAAGCCTTAAATAATACGCTTCACCTGCCCCAATGGGTACGTACGTGATTCTACCAAGAGCAACTCTCCTTGATCGTGGCGTCCATATTCTCTTTGGGTTATTCCACACAAATCTCGTAGGAAATTGCGCATAAGTTAACGTCCTCGCCAGTTCATACTTATCGTTGCACTCCATCCAAGCAATGAATTTTGACGTACCAACTGAGACACGATTAATAACCTCGTCACCTGGATCATCCTCGTTGTATATGACCATTTGCTGATTCGGTAAATGAAAGGGTAGTTTAACTACAGAAACCGTGCGATGGTGAGTATGATTACGGAAAATTCTCCACGTAGACTCCGAAGGTGCTACATACCTAGAAAGACATTATTAAATAATGGAAGATTGGAATTTTAGAGATATAAAATATGTGAACAAAATGTTTAAAACATACCTACAATTTAAGTGTTTCTTAATCTCGTTTTCTTTATCATCATTCTTTATAGTTGCACGAATATAGTCAGCACCTTTATGAATATATTTGAATAGATACTTTACTGATCGAGATTGTACACACCATTCGACGTTGATATGAGCCCTATAAAGCAGTGTGAGACTCCTATTATAAGGAACCACAAATCCATTATCACATTCAATACCCTTTTTAACGATAACTTTCTTGTCATTACGTCGCCTGTATATAGGATATCTAACATCATCTATTTTAGTGATCGGACTGCAAGGTTTTGGAAAATACTTTGTACATTTTCCGTCAGCCATGCAAACACTATCCTTATTCAAAGCACCACATGGTCCATGCATCATGACATCTCCTACTATCTCATACAGCGCTGGATCAATATCCTTGTCAGGAATCTCAGCACATATTATCTTATCAATGTCATCACCAGTTGGTAGCTTGTGACCAGCTTCTAAAAAAAGAACGATGTGTGCATGAGGTAGCCCCCGTTTTTGAAACTCAATCGTGTAGATCGCTGCAACGAATAAATGGTAGTTTTTTAAAGATTAGTTAGCATGATCATCTAGCAATGTTATGGACAATATCGTGCTAAACGAAATAAGATACTTAGTTTAATAAAACATACCGGCTTTTACGACACCTAACACATTTTCTTTGGTGAGTCTGTGCATGAGATCATCTAGTTTCATCTTGAACACTCGCGTACATATATCTGGTCTATCCTCTTGCTTCAAGTTATGTCTTTTTAGGTGCCTGGTAATCTCAGGCCATTTGGGATTACACGTAAAGGTTATGAAAAGATCCGGAAAACCAAAATGCTGGCAAGTAGTCATCGCATCTAGATAATGTTACACCATATACCTTGTACCACCAGTATAAGAAGAAGGTATAATAATACGTTTACCCTTGTCAGAAAGATCAGTGTCACCTTCATCAACAGTTTTCTTTATTTTGTCATAATTTTCGCAACGAATTTTAGACTGATTCATTGATATGAAACGTAGTCTATTAGTCTCAATCATCGTGTACGCATCCACTAAAAACTGCTGGAACAATCTTCCAGATAAAGGGATGATTGGTGACTCACCAACCCTCTCTTGTATGCGGTAAGCAAAAAACTCTCTCATAGTAATATGCAACCTTTTCCTCCCTTGGGTATCTACAAAACCAATATCGATACCAAGTCTGAACCTTTTCCTCTCTTGTATGCAGCAACTTCATTAGTAGCTGGTAGATTCTCAGTCCTTCCATCGCTTTTCCTGTCACACTTTAAAATTATCCTTAACCGGCTTGTATCATCGTTAGGATCAAACCTTTCTCGAATGTTTCGTAATGCATCCACATGTTTGTTATGTTTATCTAGCATATTTTTTATTTTCTCAACAACCTTCACTCGCAATTTATCAGCCGGTCCCGTTTTCCTGTAAAATTTTTAAAATAAATTCTTATAACAGTTAGAACCACATAACATTTAATAACAATACATATATGTTTTAAAATTGATCTCAATGATTAAATTTAATATAAACCAAAAGAATAATAATCATACCCACAAGCAGCTATTCGGTTAGATGTTTCATCATATATATATATAGCTGTAAAAAGGCTGGTTCTTTTCCAGGAGGTGGTAGCAACTCCCCTATAGAATGGTAGTTCTCCCCACTCATTTGGAAAATGTGAGGACCTTTCCCGTCGTTGATTTCTTTATTTATTTTTCCTCCAAGAGAAGTGAAAGAAAACATCATATTATACGCCCGGATAAACTCACGAAAGTGATCACGCAAATCACCATCATTAGACATCAATGCTAATAAGGATTTCGGAGGGGTTTTAAGAAGTGGAAGAACGACTTTACCCTGACCACAACACATGGAGAATATAGGCTTCCCACGACGATATCGTTTACCCAACCTCTCTCCATACCACATATAAACCTTACAATTACCACATATATATATAGGATCACCATCGTCGTAATAACCTAATTAAAATAATATTCATTGCTTAGTATTAATTACACGGTAGTTATATATTATGTATTGAATAAAATATATTAGTACAATGAAAACCATAACCTCCATCTTTCAGACCAGGACTAACTGATTCCAATAAATCTGTTCTAGTAACAACGGTCTCTGTTGCATCCTCATCACAAAAATCAGAGATTTTAGCACGTTTTTTGGGTCTTCCTTTCTTTTTATTACCAGGCCTCGGTTTTCCCACATCCTCACTTTCCGACATAGAGTCTTCATCATTAACCATATCAGACTCAGAATCAGTAGCAATAAAGCAAGCAAATTCTTCGGTGTTGATAGAAGTAGCCAAAAGATCTGTTTGTTTTTTTAACGGAAAAATAATAACTGTAAATCAGGCATATAATTATTAATAAACATTGTAATTACGAAAAAGAAGATCAAACCAATAGCTTCTTTTCTTTTTCTCCTCTCACGCATGATATGCATTCGTCTCTGCTGTGCATTACGAATTCCCGGGGGTGTTAGATCAGGAACTTCATTGATATTGTAACGGAACAAACCTCCAAGTTGGTCTATATCGGTTACACTGGTAGGAGCATATCGTGCGTTCTTAGCATTACCACCTACAAATTCCAGTTAATAGTAAGCAAATTTATAACACGTAAATGTTTTAAAAATATAATTTACTTAAAATAACACCTTTATTTGGAGCAATCGACGAAGATGAACCTTTTTTCTGAGGACGCCCAAGCTTACGTTTCATTTTTTCTGGTGAACAGCACGAAAAAAAAAAATGTGTGATCTAAACACACAATCATTAACAAACTATATATATGAAATATTATATTGCGCGATAATGCAAAATATACATTTTAGCTTCTCATAATAAATTAAGATTTTGGTAATAAAAAGAATTTCGAAATAGAAAACCGCACGATAATGTTAACATTACTTATTCTTCGCGATAATATGCCTATCTTCTCTAATGCACCATAATACTCCAGTATCGAAAATTTACATTTTTCGTGATAATGTTAAAATACTATTGAAATACTTCTACATTACAATAACGCGGATCTATAAATAATTATTTATTATTCCAAAAATGCAGAGTTAATCCTAAAAATATACCTCTACATTACAACAAATATATTATCCTAATGTTTTTACGAAAACCGAAACCGAAAAGACTATCGTTATATTTCTTAGAAATTGAATATTCTCCCAAAAATATGGTTATTTAACATATCATCCAATAAATTATATCACATATTTTTTTTTTTCGTGGACAATTATACTACAATTCGTTACGCAAGCGTTTTGGGGATAACTATGAACATCGAAATCCAAACACGAAAATAATAATTAAACAATCTTATTTTCATACACTGCGTCAAAAGTCAAATTTTATTCAAATCACATACGATGTTTAACACAAACCACAAAAACCTAAAAATAAAAATTGATATAAAATAATTCTTAAAACATTAGCATGGAACTTGTAACATCAGGGTCTAACGACTGGATATCAACTCTCGAAACTGATAGACCTCGAAGCATGGCAAATTTAGAATAACTTGTGTGCAATCATACGACGTAGTTGCCAAGTAACATCCTGTATTATCGAACAAACAAAAATCAAATCATATTTATCGCATATACTTTACAACCATCTCATATCAAAAATAAAAAATATACCTCGTCGAACAATTATCTTCGCAAAACGAATGATGCAAATAATGACATCTTGTTTACATCCACCCAACTCAAGAAGAAAAGTTTCAGCATAATCACCTTTCAAAAAACATGATAAACGTCGGTTCCTAAAGTTTCCCACCAAACAAATATCAGTCTGAGTTAAACTTAAAAATTCGTTTTTTAAATTCTATTAACATAAAATAGGTTACCTTTCGTTTTCGAGATCAAATCTTATTATAGGCTGTCTAGAGTATCCTAAGGATCCAATTCTATCGTGAGAGTTTCCAACGTTGACAACCTTACCGATTAAATCTGTTTTAAAAAAAATGAATATCAAATAATCAATATAGTAATTGCATGACAAATCGGTAATGAAAAATACACAGAATACTCACCCACACAGTAGTTAAAATCAATAGTCCCATTCATAATATCTTCGAAAACAACGAACGAAAAATAACCATTGATATCTAAAGTATAAGAGCTTGCACATGTTGTATCACTGGTAAGTTGGATCATATAAGGATGTGTGCTTGGCTTAAATTCACCAGTAAGAGGCAATAGATTAAAATTTATTAGAAGAACCCAATCACCCTTGTTACATATCCTCGAATACTTATCATAAAATTCAATCGGTGCAGTTACATAAATCTTCTGTCCCTGAGAAGTATGGAATCAAACATTCAGACATTTATCATTACAAAAACTAAAATATAATCATGAAATTGATGTGTTATACCTTCCAATCCCCCATTATGAAGTCTAACGTGCGGTCACATTCAGGAAATCTTTTAAATTTACGTAAGACTTTCAACTTAGTCTTCCATATATGCTTGGTAGGATCGAGTTCGGAAATTCCAAACAGATTTTGATCATATTTTTTATATACGGCGGCGATAGATAGTAAATAAGCCATTTAGGTTAAACGCAAACCCAGAGCCTCAAAACAATTACAACGATTACGTCCAAAGGTAACTTAAATAAACATAGCAGAGACAATACTTAAACCAAACTTTTGTTTCTTATTTATATAATTTAAAATAAAAGGATATATTGAATATTTTACATTTTTGAGATACCGTAATGCTTATTTTACATTTTTAGGATAACATACAACCTTGATAGAAATTTTATCATGATCACAGGGATACCGTTTCCGATTTGTATTAGGGTTTCCGATTTGTATTAGGGATCTATTATAATATATTATTATAATTATAACAATTTTCCAATTGGTATTAGGAATATATCGGAGGTGAGCCATTTGCATTGTTATATATAAAAACGATGTATTAGAATTACCGAGTTATATATGACGACTACTTTTTAGGTTTTATAGGCACTACATCATGTCGATCGCTGCTTGTCTTTTAGCAATGAAAAACATGATTTACGCCAATGTCTTCGATATAACTCCATCAAATCAATTACGCCGTATTCGTGTAAAAATACTGCGTATGTTCGAGCACATCGGTGAACCTGATAATACTTTAGATTTGGTGTTGGTTGATAAAAAAGTATTCCGGTGACTTTATATTTTTCGTGCATATCAGGTTTCTGATATACATATTTTTGTTTTTTTAGGGTGATAAAATACATGGATCAATATCAAAAGGGTTTATAGACAGTTTTACATCAGAAGTGAAGCAAGGAGATTCAATTATTCTGTACCTTTTTGGTGTAGTCCCTGTCATCGGAGACTTGAGGCCGACGGTGCACAATTATAAAATAATATGGAATTCTCAAACTTATTTTTCAAAGATCCCTTTCTATGATAACAACAACTACCTAAGTATCGTTGAATTTGGTAACATACACAACAATCTCCGAGACCCATTGTTTTTCGTTGGTATGACTTTAGATAAATTAATAAATAATAACAAAAACTATATGCTATTTTATATCTATAAACTTTCTCAATGACTAACTAATCTTTTTATTAGATATAATTGGACACGTCGCAGTGATTGGGACATTTAGTCACAAATCCTCCAAAAGCCAGAAAGTGGGGTAATGTTTACATGGAACTCCGTAACGAATCGTAAATTATTAAAAATATGTTTCTCAATTACAATCACTGTAATTATCAATTTTTACTACATTATATGATTATTATATGCCCAACAGAGATGCTAGATTGCAAGTGTTATTACGGAACGACTATGCACTGGACCTGATGACTGCTTTATCACGGAAAGAACACAAAATTAACATTTGTGTTATACGTTTTGTGCAACTGTTCAAATTTGCACATGGTTGGGCAGCGATAACTGCATACGATTGTACCGAAATTTTACTAAACCCTAACCTACCCGAAGTCGAGAGAATGCGGACAACAATCACGGAATCAGACGATGGTGTTATATTAAGTTTTTGAATAGTTTCTTTTTTCGTATGTTTGGTTTTCTTTTTTATTTATGTTTTCATCATTTGACTCAATAAACGATGGTACTATATCAAAATTCTCCTCATATTATTCTTTTCGTATACGTTACTTTCTTCAATTTCTAAAATATATGTTTATTATATATATACATATTTATTTTCCTAGTAAAATATTAAAATACTTTTAAATCAACAACGGTATCAATGGATTATGAACACAATTTTGCATTGAAAACAAAAAGTGACACTCTTTGTAAATCAGAAACAATACGCTAAAATGAGAGGCTTTGCGAAACAGGTGAAGTTTATGGATATTGAATAATTTATTTATTACAATAAAAATAAAAAATAGCTATGTTGTTCAAGTACACAACCTATAAAAAACGGAATAAAAATTTAATATCTCCTACGGATACTGATCTTCATATCCATCATCCAGAGGGGTAAAATCAATTGAAGTTTCAAGCCTGGAACAATAAGACAATATTATAAAATCATAAAATAGATGTCAATAGAATACATATACAGGATATAACATCAAAGATGGAATTTACATACCTCATCTTTGCTATTGCCACTTCTGGAGTAGGAGGATCTTCGAGAATATCAGATATGAATCTTTCCGATTCAACTATCCACTCATCTAATTCCGTATACATATTCAGTATGCATGTGGAAACAATAAATTTGTTAAACTTCTGATTAATTGCTGTATTGAATAGATATTAATAGTTAAATTACGTACCTCTCCACCTATTGGAAGAGAAAAATCGCAATACAATAATATGCCTTGAAGACCTATCACGATTCGTCCAAAGTTCTTCAAATTTTATTGTCAAGTTATCCCAAGCAATACATTTCAAGGAATTTCCACTGTATATATTTACACCAACATAGAAGATAATTAACATATTTTAATGTATCAAGAAACCCAAGCCTGACACCAGATACTCTGAGGATAAGTTGTACTTACCCGAGATCTTCGAGTACAAAACGAATAAGTGGATGTTCTGTGGGTGTATCCGATGTATCGGACATATGAACTCCTCTTTGAAGTTTTTGAACAAAAGTGACAACCCCGAGAAGATCAACTGCAAAATCAAACAACTAAGTTAGAAAAAATTCATTTCTCAGTTAATGAGATAAACCAAGATAATAACATGCATGTAAGATACTTACCAAGATATCGTTCTGTTTGAATCGACGCAAGCAAAATATCTATGAATGGACAGAAAGAGTATATTTTTCTGGAAGACTTCAGATCGGTTTTCGCAGTGATTGTATCCTCGTTGATACGTATATGACAGTCGATTGATGATATACTTGGATGTGGTAATCTTTCGGTAACTGCAAAATTACCAAGAAAATAGCACTCTCCTTCGAGCAACACATCCTCGAATTTGTCAAGTATTTCACGGCATGGTACACAAGATGCGATTGTCCTACACAGTTTTAGTAAAAAAGAATCAATAAATGATTACATTTCCAAAACATGAACACGGATAATCTTTTAAATCTCATAAACTTACAAATTCATCAGCGAGGACTAACATCCGATTAGGGCAACCAATGAGAGTAAAATCATAATAATTTCTAACTACTTGGACACAAATACGATGCCCGCTGTTTGTCTTCTGAAGTTCAGACACTCTATTACGTGGAGACATTCGTTGTTTTTAT